AAAAAAAAAAAAAAAAAAGATTGGCCCGGTTGTTCAGAAGAGGAGGTGGGAGCTCAGAGAGGTGAAGTGTTTTGCCTGAGGAAACAAAGCTAGGACTCTTAGAGGTGGAACTGAAACTAGTCGTTTTTCCCAGGCCTGTGTACTCTTGGCCACAAAAGGGGGAAAACTCTTAACCCAGCAGGGTTCCACAAAGAAATGAGGATTAAGAGACTGAGCCCAGGGAACAGTGGGCAGTGGTTAAGAACCTGCCTGCCAATGCAGGGGACACGGGTTCAAGCCCTGGTACAGGAAGATGCCACATGCCACGGAGCAGCTAAGCCCGTGCGCCACAACTACTGAGCCTGCACTCTAGAGCCCGCGAGCTGCAACTACTGAGCCCGCGCCTAGAGCCTGTGCTCCACAATAAGAGAAGCCACCACAGTGAGAAGCCTGCGCACCGCAACAAAGAGTAGCCCCCGCTTGCCACAAATAGAGAAAGCCCGCGCACAGCAACGAAGACCCAACGCAGCCATAAATAAATAAATAAATTCATTTATTTAAAAAAGAGAGAGAGAGAGACTGAGCCCAGAATGGGCTTTGAGAATGTCAAAGGGAAGTCAACCACCTTGAATGACAGTGTCACCAGTGAGAGTGTGGGGGACTTTGGGAAAGCCCAGTGGGCCTGGGGGAACAGTATTCTGTTATGGGACCACAGGCCAAGACTGGAGAGCTGAGACCTCTGACGAGTGTCCCTGCACCCTGCCCGCTGCAAAGCTGGCCCCACCTGATGAAGATGAAGATGGCTTTGCGATAGTTGGTCCCATAGACAACCCAGGAGGAGCCCAGGAAAGGTCTCAGGACCTCTATCAGGCCTGGGGCCAGCTTGTCCATCTCATCGAAGAGGAAGAGAGAGCGGCTGCAGGCAGTGAGGTTTCCCTGGACCCAGCTCTTCAGATCCTTCTGTGAGAGAAAGGCAAGAGTATGAGGGGGCCTGGAGATGCTCCCCCAATCCCAGATTTCTTCCCAAAGCAAGAATTAATCTCCTTCCCAGGAAGATATGGTCTCCCAGAGAGTACCAATCCCTGAATGGGACTGATGGTGAAACTGTGGCTCAGAGAGGGGCAGAGACTTGTCCAGGCTCACACAGCAAGTCAGCAAGAGAACAGGGACTCAGACCCAGGCCTCTCACCTGCCTTTTCAGGGCTCCTTCCCCGACACCTACTGCTTTCTAAAAAAAGGGGAAGGCTCCTTCCTGCTCCCTGAACATTCCCAACGGAGTTGACAACTGAAACAGATTAGCCTGGAAAGTACCTTGCAATCAACAACAACAGTAGTAAGAGCTAATTGGATTTCCTGAGTGCTTACTCTGAGCCTCAAATTGGGGCTAAGGGCTTTACAGAGAGAAGATAATGCAGACTGTCTGGCAAAGGTAAGAGCTCAATAAATAACACCTGCAATTCTATAATCCCACGTCCCTCACAACAACCCTGGCAGGTAGGTGCCACTACTGGCCCCCAGGGATTAAATCAAGAACTCCCTGCCTGGTGGTACCACCCCAAGTTTTGTTCAGGGTGGGTCCTGAGGGGTGAGGCTTCAACTGGCTGTGTGGCCTGGAGCAAGTGATTCCCCTCTCTGGGCTCAGGACTCACTCCTTCCCTAGGGTCCGACACTCGACAGTGCAGGCGGATGGTGGTCCAGGACAAACCCAGCCTACCTTGTAGCGCTCCAGGTGGCCGGGGTGGGGGAAGTGGATGACCGGGGAAAAGTGGTGCACATGGGGGCTGCGGAGGCCACCCCGGAAGAGGTAGTGTGCCAGCAGGGAGGTGACATAGGACTTGCCGGTGCCAGTCCAGCCATGCAGAGAGAGGACCAGTGGCTTGGTGGGGGCTGGATCCTGCACGAAGGCCTTCAGTGCCTTCACCACCAGCGCCCTGGCCAAATGCTGGCCCGCGAGGTGCTGTGCCAGGTCACACTCCAGACCTAGGGCCACAAGAAGGACAGTGTCAGAGCTGAGGACACACATCCGCCACGGAAGAGCTCCAGGAGGGAAGTCATGTCTGGAACCTGGTCTGGAGATCCGCGTTCTGGGACGTTTTTACAGGCTGTCTGCGGAAAGGAGTGCGGCCCTTGAGGTCTCGGTCGCAGGAGTCACCCTCAGGCCTGACTCAGCTCAGCAGCGCCCCCACCAGATGGCCCTCTGGATTGCGCTCAGCCCTAAGTGGGCGCGAGCTGTCAAGAGGGCCTGCCCAAGACTCCCGACCATCTCCAAGGCAGTCTTCTTCCTTGACGGCCAGTCCAGTGCGGAAGTCTAAACATCCCCCCAAGGCCCTGCTGTCAAAGGCCTCTCTCCATCCCGGCAGGGCTCTGCCTGGACGCCAAACAGGCATCCCCAAACCCTCGCCCCAAGTCCCGTGCCCCAGGTTCTCGGGGTCCCTCAACGCCAGGCCCACTTCCGGCCCTGGCCGTCCGGAAGTCTGGGGGTCCCACCCTCGGTTCTACTCTCCAGGTCCGGCGCCGGCGCACCCCCGGGGTCCGAGGGCTCCCCGGTCCGCCGGCCGCTCCGGTCCGGGCGCCCGCGGCTGCTCACCCTGGAAGTCGGGCCGGAAGTCACATTCGCAGAAGGCGCCGAAGTTGCAGCGCAGCGAAGTCAGGTCCCAGGCGGCGGCCGCGGCCGAGACCAGCCCAAGCAGCCCGAGGAGCGAGCCCCAGGGCCGGCAGCCACGCCTCACAGCCGCCATCCGGGTGAGACCGGAGCTGGGTCTGTGGCCGCCAACCTCCTCTCCCGAGAACTACAACTCCCGAAATGCATCGCTCCGCGGCAGCCACAGCCTGTGGCCTACAACTCCCGGCTCCCTTCTCTCCCCTCTCAAAGGCCCGCCCGGTCGTCCCTCTGCAGGCCCGGAAGGTGGCCTCCAGGGGGAGCCCGCGAACCGTGCAATCCAGGACTGCGGGCTGAGTTTCCATGGCCACGGTAACTAGGGGACCATCACAGTAGCTCCGAAAGAATAATAAATGAAGGATTATGACCACAAAGGGTGACATAATAATTGTAGCAAAAACTTGTGCGGCACCTTACACCTTGCAA